CCGGAAGACCCACACCAGCCATCACATGATCCAATGTTACATCCATTTTGGTTTTGTTTTTACGACCAGCTATTCTTTATCTTATAATCTTCTAGGGCCGGGAGCAAGCGATAGATGTCAACCAGGAGCCCTTTACTCACCCAGCTCCAGAGCACATGCCAAAATCTTTCTTCCACGCAGTGAATGTGCTTCAGCCTTCTGCTATTATTGGTGAGAGCTTTAGGTGATTTCTAAGTTACTCATCTGACAGTTTTGCCGCTTCTACTTCTAAGTTCAAAGATTTCTGATATTGGAATTTCCAACTGTCTGAAGCAGCGTTTTTCAAACTTGGCAACTTTAAGATGTGCGGACTTCAACTCCCAGAAGTCATGCTGGCTGAGGAATTCTGGGAGTTGAAGTCCACACATCTTAGAGTTGCCAAGTTTGAAACACGCTGATCTAAAGCTTTGCTGAGTGGAGCTCAGAAAAATGAGGCCTCTTTTCACTTTGTTCTTTCTCTTTCCATCTGTAGTGCCACAAGCAGGAGCTTGCACACGGTTCGAGGATTGTGTGTTGCTTCATTCCAGAATGTTCCTGCAGTGGCCACGCTCTGTGCGAGTTACTCAACCCTGCAGGCCCAAAGAGATTGGGACAGTTCCCACCCCACCTCCCTGAAAATATTTGTAGTCTTTTCTTTGATTTTCTTTGGTTTTATTTCCACTTTCAGGGGTTGCAGGAGCCGGGCGGCTTTTTTCTCATAATGTCATCAAAGCGATGGCCGACATCAACCAGAGGCCCATAATATTTGCACTGAGTAACCCTACTGCAAAAGCAGAATGTACCGCTGAGGAGGCATACACACTAACAGAGGTAAGCTAAAGCTAAAATTCTGAAAGATCTGAGGCTATAATGTTTCCTCTCCTGGGCTTTACAGCTTGGCTCGCTTGTTGGAGCTGCCTGAAGGAAGTCCTCTGGTGGTGGAGCTGCTCTCTTCCCATATGATGCACTGGGGTCGGCCGACCTGGGGAGAGTTGGTGATACTTCCTAGAGAATTGGCTAGAAAGCTTGGTTTTTATTTTATTTATTTGTGTGTGTGTGTGTGTGTGTGTGTCAAATTTGTCACCGCCCATGTCGTTGAAATGACTCTGGTTTCCTTCTAAATCAGCAACTAGATAGTTCCCTGAGGTTTTATGCTTTCAAATCTTCTGTAAAAGTCTGTTTCTTCTATTGAGTCATGGTGAGAAATCATTGCCAGGATTATAATAATCGTATGTAGGCTAGACACAGTACGTTTTCTTTCCTGAGTTTTGCAAACTAATATTGAAGCAGATTGGGCTGAACTTTGCCATTGAATTCCTGACCCATAAGGTCTCATGGAAAGGTGTCCAAAATATGACTTTGGGGTAAGGTTCCTAGTGGGCCGATTTTGCTCTTATGCAGCTGATGGTACTGGCTTACAGTAGCCGTGTCCAAATCCCCTGTATTATAGGAAAAAGTGGTTTGGTCGCCGAGGGGCCGAATAATGGGACATTTTGGCTGGTAGTCAGCATTATTTCCCCATCCCTGCAGTGTTGCAAGCGCCAAATGTCATTGCAGAGTGACTTCCAGAAGAATCTTGACCAGTTTCTCCGTTTGACAGGGGCGTTGCCTTTTTGCGAGCGGCAGTCCATTTGGACCCGTGAAGCTGAGCGATGGCCGGTCCTTCAAACCAGGCCAGGGAAACAACGCCTACATATTTCCAGGTAAAGCCTGGGAGTCATGCCTAGTGGGTTTGTTTTTTTTCAAATTCCCTGTCAGCCTTGCAGGGTAGTCCAGACAAGAAGCACACCCAGAAGTACTAGCTCTACTTTATTGTAAGGGTACATTAACAGAATCTTGCAAGTCTGAAAGTACGCCTTTCCCTCCTTGCCTTTACAGCGCAAGGAACTGGGGGGGGGGGGGTCTTCTGAGATGCTTTCTCCACCTCCACATCCC